CCTAATAAGATTGCACTTCCCCCAGAAGTCCTTGGTGTAACAGGTCATCTACCAGGATGACCAAATCAGTCTCAGTCCCACGTCCTGACGGAAAGCCTGGCTGGAGTGGGTTCAAGTAATCAGTATCATCTAGAAGTGATCAATTGATTGACTGATTGATTGATTCACTTGCAAACCACCATGGGAATATGATTGAAAGGTGGCTTTTAAAATAGGTTAAGCTTAAAAATAATGACTGTGGTCATCCTGGGAGCTACATAAAGAAAGATAGGAACTTAATATATGATCGATGTTATATGAACAAATATATGAACTCAGCAAATAAGGTTCAACATTTTTAACTGCTTCACTACCTTGGCTTTTGTATTGATTTAATGGCTTTTAGGGTTGGTACCACAGCGCTGTAAAGATTTCAATGTCTAAAGATAGCTCCTGTTCAGCTACAATACAAAAAGATTTAATAATGCCTGACAGCTATGAGAGAGAAAGAATTTCACATATACACATACCGAGAAAGACGGGGAAATGCAGGAATTATTTTTAGAATATTGACACTAAAATAGACCCTTCATTAAGTTGAGTAGCCTGTGCATTGAAAACAGGAGGGCATGAAAATAGTTGTTTCTTGAGTCTGCTTCCCTTTGTTCAAAATTTGTCGATTGGTGTGATGTCAAAAGGTTAATGCAAAAGACTGTATTTGATGTCACATGAGTGTTTTGTTTTAACTTCAAAGTGTCATTGAGACACAGGAACATTTCTTCTGGACCAGACATATCCATCTGCCATTGCTCATCATGCAGATAACTATAATGGGCAGCTTCTCTTCAGAGTCAAGAGATGGAAGAAGAAACCATATCAACTTGATAAAGATCAGTTATAATGCTTACAATACAGTCATGTGAGTTTTTATGGTGATAGCAGTTAGTATACGTGTCCCTCAAGGGGTGATCCCTTCCCTTGAGAAACACATGCAACATTGTCCCTCTCCATGTTGCCTTCTTCAGGATCTATTCTAGATGAATCATCATAGTATTCCTACCCTACTAATAATGTAGGAGAGAGAATTGTAAAAGAGCCATGTGGTTTGAAAGGTCCTTACAGATTCCCTCTCCATGTTGCCTTCTTCAGGATCTAGATGAATCATCATAATATTCCTACCCTACTAACCGTAATGCAGGAGAGAGAATTGTAAAAGAGCCATGTGAAAGGTCCTTACAGATGTCCACATTCCATGTGAATGAATAAATGAATCACTCATTTATTAATTTTTTTTGGGGGGGATGTTATCTGTTAAATATCATGAGTAAAATATAGTTTTACCATGTTTCTTTTTGCCTCTTCACCCCCCACCACCTGGAAAAACATCTGCTCCAGCACTCAGAAAAAGTTAAGACTGCCATCTGCAGGTGTTTCATTTAATATTTTGGGCTGGAATCGGATTATGGCCCATATACCTTGGACTACAATGTAGTCACAGCTATCTTGGAAGCAACAATATCAACATTTCCATTTGTAAAGAATTTTAACCACACATCAATTTCTTATCTTCATTAAAACCAAATGACATCAGGATTGGAATCACAATGAGGGAAGTGTGTGTGTGTTTAGCCACATCTCTCAACACCATGATCCTGATTTTAAAAACCACTCCAATGTTTTGGACTTCTTGGTGGTGGATCTAACAAGCTGGAACTTCCTGGTAACACATTCCTAGCCCCTTCTGTGCAAGCATTTAAGTCAAGCTATAGACATCTTCTGTTAAAACTCCTTTCATTTCAATTTGTAATTGGTTTGTGTGGTTGAAACAGTTTTGCAGAATTTTCTGTTTGTGTGTTGTGGTGGCTGTTCTGTCTCATAGCAGTCCATAGTCTTGTACCTACTGGAGCTGGGAAATAACATTGAAATGACTAAAATAATTTCAATAAATAAGTACCCTCAGAAAACTAGAAACTGATTTGGAAACGAAGTTGCTATTCCACTGGCAGATTGAAAGGGAGAAAAGTCAAAGAGTACTGCTAAATTTCTCTTTGAAAATAAATGAAGAGTGAAACCTATTGCCATGTTTCTGAGCTTTATATAGCAGGGTCCTATTTTCTTATCCATTTTCTGGCCTGTTTCAAAATTCACTTGCTTTTCTGTTTACAAAATTAATGAGAAGGAAGATAGATCAACACAGTTATCTATGCTGCCCACAAATATCAAAGCCTGCACAGGTACCATGTCATAATTCCTTGAGCTCCTGCTTTAAATGATGAACGTTGCACTGAGGTATGCTGCTGATATACTTTAACCTTGCTACTACTAGTTCTAGAAGGGCAAATCACATTAAAAACTTGTGTTTTACATCTTTTTTGCTATGAATTCAAAGTTGTGCATTACAAACAGAAACACAAATGTTTCTGAATACTTTGGATGTTTTGGACTCGTTCTGAGGCATGTCCTTTATCTCTCCCTTTTTCTCACCTTGAAGTAGGATTCTTCATTCTTGATCATACTCATTGTCAGTTAACAAAGGGTTAAAGTATAAATAAATATAATGACATATTTGCAGTTCTTTTCTCTTTTTTTGCTTATATATGCAAAGGAGAGAAGTCCTAAAAATGGTTTTGCCTAAGGTACTATCTTGTTTCCCTGAAAATAAGCCCTAGTATGATTTTTTCAGGACACTCCTAATATAAGCCCTACCCCAAAAATAAGCCCAAGTTAAGTGAAACCTCATCCCCCACCATTGTGCAGCAACCAGAAGAAAATAACATGCCTGTATTTGAATAAATGTAGATTATTGTACATGAAAAAAAAAATCCACTGAAAATAAGCCCTAATGCATTTTTGGAGCAAAAATTAATATAAGACCCTGTCTTATTTTCAGGGAAACACAGTATGAGTAAATGTGAAAATGAAAACAAGCAGGCTAGAAGTATTGCAAAAGTTTCCCAGTAATTTTGCAATTTAGTTGCGATATATATGCGTTATATTAAATTTCAAGCTGCACATATAGTAATAAAAAGGCAAGCAGCCTTTTAAGACAGTGCTACTTCTTCTAGGTAAATGTGTGTAGGATTGCCTGGAATTTTCCTTACATCTGGAGATGATTCCTGTAGAAACTTTGTTAGAAACTACATGTTAGGGTAGTTATTGATTTTAAAAATAAAGAGCATAGGGTAAGGTCTTCTGTCTACAAATGGAATAACATCCATAAGGGTTGTTGGCTGACTTGCTGGGGGTGGAGATGCCCAGGGGTTGGGAAAGATCTGCTGTGCAGATGGAAGACCCACTGGCACAATACTGGATGTAACCCTTAAAATGATAATCTAATTATGAATTCCCATACAGAATATTACTTTCCCCTGGTTCATCTGTCAGTATTTTTCCGGTTCTAACAAATGCATTAAATTCTGATTTAGTAATCTGTATAATTAGTGAGTTGAGCTTGTACTGTGCTTCATTTTGCACCTAATTGTGATGCAGCAATTAAGCCTTGATAAGTACACAATCCACTGAGCTGCATTATGTGTAACAGAAAGAGAAGCCAAACATGAACTAAACACAGGATGTAACATTGTGATGGGTATCTAAAGGGTTGGACATAAAAGTGCAATCCTCTAAATCAAACTTACTTGAGCATTAATTTGGTTAAAATAATTTAGACTAAACTTTGAATAGGAGTAGAGGTGTATACCACAATCTGTACTAAAATCTTGTCTGTATGAAAACATGGTTATTGTATGTTTTTATCTAAGACATAGTAGATTTTTTTTAAAAAAGGGAAGGGAGAGCTTTACAAAAGCTTCACTATTGAATAAATCTTAAAGACCATTAAGAGAAAACCTATTAGAAGAAATTAGTCATTAGTCATAGTATAATATTTCAAGAAAGCCAGAGGGTGAATGTGACAGTACACGTTTGTGTACTCAGTATCCCTATAGTGGGTAAATTGTAGGAATGTGGCAAAGATCAGAGATGAGATTTGTTTGAAATAGTGCCTGTTAGCATGCAAAATCAAAGGAAGGCCTGGTCATAGACAATTAGCTGTTTTGGGCATGACCACTGAATTTATAAGGTCTCCCGGGCTGCACAAAAATGTTATCAGTGCATAAGAGGGCGCTCAGCCGACCGCATGGCTTGCTGATAACCTGGCACAGTTTCCTTGGATTGTTTGATTCTGCTGATGCTAATAATGCCTCATTTAACTGATTGCTCTTACTATCAGGTGAGCTAAGAAGAGTAGGGTGCATTTTCCATTGAAAAAGTCAGTCATACTGTTATTCTGCAGTGGACATTTTTGTGCTATAATGCTTATTGTCAGTGTGTGTACATATATGCTTGTGGGATAAGAGATAGGTTTCATCTCAAGCAGGGTTTTAAAATAGTCCTCAGAGATGTATGGATATTCCTATAGATTCTGGATGTATATGAATTGAATTCCTCCCCAAAATATTTATTTCTCTGGGTGGAAAATTAACTGCTTAAGACAAATCCTTAAGGCAGAAATCAGAAAAGAGCGAATCGTTTTAAGATTCTAGATCACTACGTCTGCTGATGAACATAGCACTATTAATTTAGATGGGGAACAGTGGTGGTGTTTATGGTTCAGTTGAATTAATGTACAGTAATTGATTGTAGAAATCAGTGAACATAAGTTTTAAGTGGCTGCATGGGTTATGCATCATTTTTTCACCCAGTTTGTATGAGTGGGTGGCAGGTGCACATATTGAAAGCTGTCTCAAAGAACCAACGTGGCGTGGTGGTTAGAGTGTTGGACGAGGACTGCCGAGATCTGGGTTTAGATGCGTATGTGAGTGCAAAGCTTATTGGGTCACCTTGGGCCAGTCACTGTCTCACAGCCTTAACTACATCACAGCTATTGTGAATTTGTGACTGTGAAGCTAAAATTGTTGAAGAGTACTATGAAGAGTGCCTTAGGCTATTAGGAGCAATTTGGGGTATGTGTATGTGAATAACATGACATTTAAAAAGCCACAAATTCCTTTCTTTTATAGGTCCAGACGCATCTTGAAAATCCAGCAAGATACCACATTCAGCAAACTCAGAGGCATCAGGTGAAGCAGTACCTGACCCTGGATACCAAGCTGTCTAGCCAAACCTTGTCTCTGTCTCATTCAATCCATTCCTCAGGCACTACCCCCATATTAAGGAGTGGGCATATGCCTCCAACCAGTGATATCAGCGCTTCTGGGAGTCCAGTGGCCAAGTTACTCACTCTTGGAGGAGACCATGAAAATGCGGTATGATGATAAATTTGAGGCAAGCTGAGGGATAATGTTCATAACGGCTGCCAAATTGAATGATGATGAGGAAGTACAAAAGAACTGTTCAGGGTTCCTATAAACATCATGTAAATATACATATATGGGTCATACCAGATCATGGTTTTATTGTGTGGAATTTTAAAACGTGTACACTAAAACCAATGTCATTACTGTATTGTGAATGCTGACAGCAGTAACATAATGCTATTTGCCATCTGCATTAATTCTGACATTGTGCGTATAGAGAGGTGTAGGATTTTGCTGTTGGGTGAAAAATCTATGTTATAATAAAAATACAAAAGAATGTCTTTTAGAATTAAAAATCATATGAATGTCCCAACAGTGAGGAGATGCTGTGTGTAAACATCATTTAGGCTGTATGTGTAAAATAGTAAATAAATACAGCTCATATTTTGAAAGCATAAAGACATTCCTACCTGTCACTAGAAATTCCTGAATGTACCACCTGAACCTTGCCGGTCTGTAGTAGAATAGTAATAAAATACTACTATAAATACTATAGCATTTTCCAGTTAGAGATAAGAGTTTTGTGAGGGAAAATAAAGTTCAGTGAGACGAAATGAAATGTTTTCTGTAGTTATTTTGCCAATTCTGTCTGATCAAAGATCATCACTACACTACTAAATCTAGTTTCATTGGAGACATGTCAATTGAAAGACAGCAAAAAAGCACCAAATTCTTTAATGTTAAACAATGTTATTACAAAAATCATAGGATAATATTAAATAATGTTATTACTTTTCCCAAAATCATTAGAAAAAGGAAACATTTTTGACATTTGTGAAGATGCTCCTTCAAATCTGTACTGTAAGCTGTACTGATGTGTTTTATTACCCTTATTACCTGTTGTTCCTTCAAGGAACTTCAATGTTCCTAGTTTCCAATTAGGTTAAAGGACTCACTCCACTTGGCTTTTGGAAAAGAACTACAGTGTGTACGCTTGATTCTCCCTAGAAAGAAAGAATTCTTGCATTCAAGCATTCATTATTTGTTATTTATGTGCTGTTGGTAATAGCCCGCGAGTAAGCCCCTTTTTGAATGATTGCTTTTGAATAAATATGTGTACAATTCCACTCTAAGCTCTGCTATTAAGCATTCGTGATCAGCTTCTCTTTTTCTTAGATGGAGGACGTTATTGATGACATCATCAACATGGAGTCAAGCTTTAATGATGAAGGGATAGGCTGTTCTGAAGCACCACTGCTCATGCAGAGAACTGTAAGTAATGATTAACAAAGTGTTTGATACTGTACATGGAACTAAGCATTCATCTGAGAATTCCGTATTTATTGTGAACAGGTGTGATGTCTTCACCACCTTCCACTGTAGTATGAAACAACCTGATGGAATTGTCCTTTGCATTGACAGATTGCAGGATGATAAGATTGGGCAATAAGGAGCAATATATTATCTGTATCTCTTTCACTTGTTACAGTGGAAGTTTTTGTACCATTAAAGGTCTTGCTCTCCTCATTAATTTGTAGTCAAACACTTGTAGTGCTCAAGAAAGAGGAATAATGTCTAGCTCTTGCTGGTATGTAGATTGCCTTGACTTAAACTCTGCATTGAACTTTCTGCTCTTTCTTTTATTTTTGTTTACACAACTATAGCAGATAGGCTTTGTTTGAGAACTTGAATCCTTTTATAGAGTTTGCCAAACTAATGAATAACCTGGTGTTCAGCAGTTGATTGAAATTGTCAGATTTGTTGCAAGCATGGGAGAAGCTGTGAAATCAAAGGAAACTGTGCACTTAAAACAACATTGTCAGATTTTGAAATTCACTTTAGTCAAATATGAAAATAATAGAATATCTGTAAAATACAATTTTAATGTATTGCCTCATTAGTATCACTGTTTAATCTTTTCCCCTTAAGGTTCTATATCTACCCCATTCAACACTTCAAAAGCAATCAACTGCATACAGATGGTTAAAATTTGTAAACAATAAAATCAATATTACAGTTGTCTCCTTCATACAGATCTACCCATTTAGACTCGCTAAGCTCATGCTTGGACTTGTTTTCATTTCACCCTAACCAGTATTGTTTGTAAGAGTAGTTTCTAGTCAGTAATTACCATGATCATCAACGTTTCTTACATTTTTGCTGGGAAGAACCAGACTAAATATTAACAGCCCTACTTGCTTATCTTTAGTAACTGGAAAAGCCTGCAGCAATGTAGATGCCTTCGTCAAGCATATTTTACGCTAGATTACATTTAAAAGAAGATTCAAAGGTCATCTTGGTTTATGAGGTTCCGTGTTGCATTAGTAGGTTCTGTTTGCAAAAAAAGAGAGAAATGAACAAGAAAAGCAAACTTCTTACAGCTGTGGTATGTATGCCATTTCAAAATGTTAGCCACAACTGTCCTTTATTAAACATAATAATAGTAATGATTATAGCTATTCTGATAAATCAATCAACCAGTCTTTTTATTAATGTATGTATAATCTTCAGTGTGAGTTGCACAGCAATGCACAGTATTCAGGGGAACATAAAGCCAGGACATTGTGTACAGTATTACAGTTTAAATAGCGAAGGATAGGGATAAAGTTTGTCCTGTGGCCCTCCGGATATTGTAGACTCCTGTTTTCATTAATCCCACAAACCAGGTCAATTGTAAAAGATGATGGTATTAAAGAAAACTTAACTTCTCTCATCCATACGCTAGGATGAAAAATTAAAATTTTGTGCTCCAATGAGGATGGTAAGAAGGTTCTTGGCAAGATTTGGTTTCTTCATACTTTCATAAGAGTTTCTACAGTAACAAGAATGGGGTGTGTGTGTACATATAAGAATTATCAGAATTCCTTGAAATTAGGTTGGTAGGGGATTTAAGAATATGAAGCACTAACTGGGTTGTTTGCATCTCTCTCTGAGATTTGTTTGTCAAAGTGATGGGTGGTTATAGACTTTTATATAAATTACAGAAAACCTGGTTGGGAGAGGAAAAAAAGACTCTGTTGTCTTCCACTTGACTAGAGGCTAGGAAGCTTTAAAATCCCTCATCAAGTTCTCTTGTCGGTCAAGGGGAAGGGATTAAGTAAGTAAGCTTTCCATTCCTAGATGGTGTTACTAGTTCTCCAGCCTCTGGAGGACCACAGATTCACCAGTCAAGTATTACACTCAATTTTGTTGTTGTTACAACTCAGGTAATGTTGTTTGTAGGTGCAGTTTCTAGTCAATAATTATGAAGGTTCTCAACAATTTAATATACCATTTCTGAAAAGAAATAGACCAAATTCTTCAGAGAGTTAAAGGTTTTTCACAGTAAAGCCCTAAGACTAAACCAGGGTTGCATTTTGAAATTTGCTTGTAATTTACCCTTGTCTTGGCAGGTATGGTTGAGAGGCAAAATGATACCATAATATTTTATTTTAAAGCCAGTGACTAAGCCTTAGGAGAGGCAGCTGTATAAAAGTTGAGAATCTCATATAATATCATGGGAAAGGGAACAGACCTTTCTCAGGAACTGCAGAGGACCGTATAGGGACCTCAGGAGGGCCAGTTTTGCCCCCCAGAACCTGAGATTCCCCACCTCTTTATCTACAACATTTTCCAGGTATTTTTGTTTTGCAAAACTAAATTTGCTCTGTATTTCAGGAAACATAGAGCAATGTCAGCTAAACAATAGGCACCCTGACCTTTGGTATGTGTCAGCGTTTTAGTGCGTGAACTAGTTGTAAGTAGCAAATTTTGTAATTTCACTGTAGCCTCTGTTTTTTCTAATAAAAACAGAATGGCACTATAGATGCCTCTGAAGGTTATATATTACATATCTCCTCTTGGGCTGACCCATTTCCTTAGCTTCTCTGTAAATGCCATGTAAAGAGGCTAGTGAATATATATGCAGCTGAAGTGTATTCTGTGGTAATTTAGGAGGAACTAAGAGAAGGCTGCTCCTTTCCTTTCTGTTGAGCTTTCTGTCTTTGAAATGGAGGTGAATGCAGTGAAGGGAAGCATTCCTTGCCGCACTGTTCAGGTAGGTTTTATTCCAGACCTGCCAGTCACTTATAAATAGAAATACGATGGGACTAACCAATTCACACTGTGCATTAAAAAAAAAGTCAGCCTGTAGAGAAGAAAGGGATGGAGTTAGTTAATCTTTTAAAAGATGAGGACACATTGCTCACATTATACTCCACAGACACTGTATATACTGCTGACGTACTGTCATGGTATGCCATATCTCTCAAACAGATGCTCACCTGTTTGAGGAGTATGGCATAACATGAGAGTAAGTTAGCAAACACTGGACAGCAGAATGATGTCCTTTAAAAGTCTTATGCCTATGACCAACTTTGGAAATGATAGTCCTATTTATGGATTATGGAACCCAGTTTCTCTAATGTTTCTCTAATGCTCTACACGTTCTTGATTGTGTGAGGTATCTGCACATGAATAGGAACCCTGTCCTCTTTAGACTCCTCACTGTTTGAGAAATGCAACAGTGGAGCAAAGTGCACCTGGGTGCTACTTACTAAGCATGTTGAAGAAACTGTATTGAAAAACATCTCAGTAGAACCCCTGTCTCTCTACATGGGGATGTTCTCGTTCTGCTGCTTCTTCTACCAGATGTCAGACAGCATCATGGCTGTTTTGACCTGGGATGTGGCAGCTCTGAACAGTTATGCTGTGCTCCATTTAAAACAACCTCAAAGGGTTCATGGTCTTCTCCTTTGTGTACTTATCCTATTTATTTGACTTTAAATGATTAGTTGTTAAAATATGTACATTTCAAGGGTTTCTCGTTTCATGGATTACGTATCCATCTGCATTTTATGTATCTGGCAATTTATTATT